GCATCCGGGGGAACACGCGGGTCACCAGGTATAGACAGGAAGCTCTAGACAGAGGCAGCAGTGTGGAGCAGGGGTCAGAGTTCTGGCCTTGTAACCGGAGGGCTGTGGGTTCGAATCCCAGCTGAATCACTGCCGGTATGCCCACGAGCAAGAGACTTCACCCACACTGTTCCAACAACACAGCCAGCAGTACGGCGCTTGGCATGAAATCAGCAGCCTAGATCAGCAGCAGTTTGTTTCTGCATAGTTGTTTCCATTTTGGGGAGATGGTTTCTAAAATTATTTTGGTACAACTCTTTTTATTTGCTAAAACAATACGTCAGTACTTACGTCTTTACTCTCGCCTTCTGCTACCCCTGAAGTATCCGAACTGTTTTCAGGAAACGATGCCTCTGCTGTAAAGGAAGAGAAACTGCTCAATCACAACCCATAGCACATTCCAGTTCCTCCTGCAGCATTGGAGAAACACTCGAGGATTTGGTGAAAAGAGAGCAACTCGAGGTCTTTAGGTCAGAAACTGGAGGTACACGAGGCAGTAGCCAGATAACTAGAAGTCTGCTAGTTTGGCGTGTTTTCCAAACTGCTAGTTTTAATAGAAAAAGACCCTCATTTAACCCCAAGGGACACTTACGCTTCGACATCTTTTTTTAGCACAGACGAGTTCGATAGCACCATGTCGTGAGATTCATCGTAGCATTTCTATTTTTTACGCCATGCAGTGCTCGATGTCAGCAGTGGAGAAAAATGTCTAAATGAACATGGATAATCCTGGGGTTCAATGACATATGACAGGACAGCTCACCGGGTCTGTCCGCTGGCTGTGGGTTGTACCCATGTGGTTCAGCAGGACCTGGCAGTCTGGGAGGCAGCGTGGGCATGGGAGGTGGCCTCCGGTAGGGAACGTTGGGGTCTGGGTACGGATATCCTGGAGGACAACAGCAGTCCCATTTTAATTCCGGGTACATGTCAAGCGTTACACTAAAGGAGGACTTCAAATCTCTTTCCTTTTAAATATAGCATTTTGTATATCCTGGGCCATCCTGTCATGATTTGACTAGGTGAACTAGGGTAAGAAATGCATCATGGAAGTAAAATAAAATCTTGTGCAAAAAAATTATCTCAGTCTTCAAGACAAATGGCAATTCTACATAAGTTAAAGCTTTTCCCGAATACAAGACAGTCAAGTAAAACAATCTTTTTGTACAAAGAACAAATAAAAATCATGTTTACATACTAGGATAGGTAAGGTGGGAAAAGTGAAGGAAAATAATTTCAGAAGATGCAATACAGAGGTTCAATCACTTCTGAACTTAGGAAACTACAGAAGATACTCCTGTGCAAGGACTTGAAAAATCCCTGAGGCCAGAATATAACCACCTTGTCCTTTCTCTTTTACATAAAAAACAGCATAACTCCAGCATTAAGGACAACACTAGAAAGAAAACTATTGTTGAGAGGAATGTGTTAAAAATCAGGTGACCACCAGCACATGCAACTTTATTCATGCAATAAACTGTAGACTTACTGTGCAATAAATTAGTTTGAAAAAGAGGGTGAATTAGTGTGCATTAGAATAAACAGTGATATAATAATGATGATGATAATGGTGGTGAGAAGGATTATGGACCTGTTGCAAAGGAGTCCCATCACTGTACAGTACTGTCAAACATCAAGTGCATTCTCATAAATGACATGCTAGCTTCAAAACGGTGGAGCAAAATATTTTGAGAGAACGAAGTTCGAAAGGTACAGACAAGCACTGTAAAAGGCACACGTGGGCATCAAGCGCAAGCATCAGGCAAAACGTCTGTCTGCATCACTTAGATTACTTTTAAATCCTAGTTCAGTATTGTCTATTATTGAAAAGAAATGAAAAAAACACTGTATAAAGTCAAGGACAGTTAACATGATATCAACTATCATTTTCTTTAACAAAATACAGTGATGCCATAACAATTTGCACCCTCCAGATAATGGCATTTGTTCTCTTGGCTTAGAGCAAATGTCCCTCAAGAACGTTACAATGTCTTCTCCTCCTTCATGCATATTCAGAAAATGACACTATTTAAAAAATGGGTGTCAGAATGGTCAAATTGTTCAGAAATCTCTGGCACAAATGTGTCAAGCAGCTGAGCACTCAGAGAAACGGTCTGCTTATTCGGCTTTTTTAACAGCTTTGTGCTACAAGCTCATTCAGCTACTCACAAAGAGCTCCAATATTGGAAAAAAGCTCTCTAATAATCAGTAACAGATCATGAAAGAAGGCAGAAACAGAAGAGGAGATTTTATCCGGAAATATTGAAGCTTGTCAGAATATGCCTGATGATCATCACAAATAGATGTTGCTATAAAAAGACAACTTAACTTAATATATTAACACATTCCACAAGATAAACTAGATTAGGATTAAATGCATATACAGTATATATGCGTATGAATAAAAAGAGTCAATGAATATCTCAACAGAGCAATGCTGCTCTTTCTGCTGCTCAGCCTCCAAAGCCAGAAGATGAGTGACCAATGCCCGATATTATCCAGAGGGTGTCCACACATATGACCATCACTGTACCTGGTGGGGGCACTTGGACCCTCCTGTCTCTTTCCCATGTAGGAGACAATGATCCACTGTCAGAGTGAGAGCCGTGGTTTTCCAAAATCCTGTCACAGTCCAGACCTTCACTAAGAACTGGAGGACCTCTCGATGCTAACAAAATATAAAACAAATAGCCTGATGTTATTTCTGAATGCTAAATTCAATACACAAAAACACTCCAGCCACAACAAGAACAACAAGAGCACGGCTCATTTTCTTTACTAATGTATTAAAGATTTCTAAACGAACATCTTCACAACAGCATCCTGTACTTTTTGCTACTAGTTTTAAAATCTGAATCTTTGCAGAAAAGAATGAATGTTTTTTTTTAACCTCTTATTAGATTGCTAGTAACTGCAATGATTGGGGCTAGAGCTTTGCTCAGCAACAAAGCAACACTGACTCAGGGAATTTTGCTGCTATGCTCAAACAATGCATGTAGCACAGTTACACATGTAATGCTAGTTACAGTGACTATACCTTTCAAGTTTCTACTGTTTCAGGCTTTTGACTGCTCACAGCAAGAACACTACCCATCTATTTGTGACCCTGCTTACTGATGAGGAAAACAAGCTCTCAAATGAT